AATTATTGAACTACAAGATTATTATTTAACTACCACACACTGTAATTAAACCCACACCATTATTTCCACCTGACACAATGTGCCACGGCTTCAAGAAATTGTTGAATGTCTTTTCTTCCTTCAGAAAAATCTTTGCATAAGTTGTGAAGTTTTTCTTGTAGCTGTTTTGTCGCTCTTTTGACGCGTTTTCTTGGGAGTACTCCACGGGACATCTGGTATAAAGTAGTTGAAACAAGAGCTGCATCTTTTCTGATTGCATCAACTGCAGCCCACACAGATGGATGGTTATAGCCAAGCAGTTGACGAAATGCATTATTCCAGCTTTCACTCAGGTTGTTGGTTCTGTCTTCGTTGTTGAGTGTTGCTTGATGAACATTCCACAATGATGGCGGAAACAGTGGAGGAATCCTGCGATATCTAAGAGGAGGGATACCGCCACCAGGATATACAAGCGGAGGTTGAATTCTCCTGAAGGGACCTGACACATAGCTGGAATCAAAGTAGTTCAGGAGCTCTTCTAGATGATCTGGAACAGTATTCCTCAAGTGTTCCAGTCTGCAGGATGGCTGTGTTCAGTTGTCTTCAGCACTTCTGTTATCTAAAAAAAACAACAAAAAAAACACAGAATATTAGTTCAGGTTATACAATAAATATAAAAAACCAAAATACTCTTTGAAAAACTTTTTAAAAAATTCTACTTGTATTGTTTTAAACACAATTTGAGACATATGCCTACCTGCAAGTCAGTAACTGCTGTGCCATTGCAATTCAATGCTCCCCTCTTACTACACTCCCAACGTATACGATGTTTACCAGTTTATCATAGCTTGCTACCTCCCTTGTTGTTCTTGATAATCTCCATAATCGATGTTGCATGAGTATGAGTAAAATAAGAATGACCTGCCAAAGTGCAAGTGATCTGCTTATATAGGGAAAGATCAAAGGCACCCACTACCAATATACAATTAACCACCTTTAAACAATAAGCAAGTTAACAAAAACACCTCGAAACAATGGACATGCGTACAATAGACAAGATCAAAGGATGCCACTCCATTAACTATATGATTAACACAAATTAACACCTGTTGATCACACCTAAGATCAAAGGTTACCATATGCCCCATGAGACCATTAACATACTCTAAAAATAATAGCAGAAAATATGTGTTGCCATTTATTTTACATGTAAATACTGACAATGTGCAAGCATTGGTGATAAAAAACAATTGTTTTTCACTATGGGATTTTTTTCCTATGCGGGGGGGGGGGGGGTTCCTAGGTTTTTTTTCCCTAAGGTTTTTTTTCCGGACCCCTGGCGACAGACGTGAAAACGGAAGACGGAATGAAAGTCTATTAAAAAAAATGCGAGACAGAGAACAACAAAAAACAAGTATAGTCGGTGAAAATAAACAAAAATTGAAGATTCATGCATCATGAAAACAATAATATTCGTGTATTTTGTCGAATACGGGGTACAAACTTACACATGCATTCCGTTTGAAAAAGTGAATAGGTAGTCAAGATGACGACAGACATGAAAACGGACGGATTGAAAGTTAATTTCAAAAAAGTGCAAGACAGAGAACAACAAAAAACGAGCACAGTCGGTGGAAAATAACATAATAAGAAGATTCATGCATCATGAAAACTAAAATATTCGAGTATTTTGTCGAAAACGGGGTACAACCTTAGCCATGAATTCCGGTTGAAAGAGTGCGAGCTATAGTAAAGATGGTGACAGACGGGAGAACATACGGATTCAAAGTCTGTTTGAAAAAAATGTGTGACAGAGAACAATAAAAAACGAGCATAGTCGGTAAACAATAACATAATACTAGTAAGAAGATTCATGCATCATGAAAACAAAAATATTTTGTCGAAAACGGGGTACAGACTGAATATAGCATGTACGGAAACATTACTGCCGTCTGAAACTAACTTTTAATTTTATTCAATTAAACAGGAACATATATATTAAAAGTAATATTTACTAGTGAACCACGTTCACGAGAACATCTGATAACTATTGTGTGTTCAGAAGATGCGTATTGCGGAAAGAAAACGACTCAATTGGGGAAAGATACTTGTAGTTCGATGCGAAAGTAGTGACATCGCATCGAAGTAAATATGACGTCATTGTTTACTTGCTCATCATAATTCCAGCCCAGCTTGCGTTGGGCATACGGCGTTTGACTTTGGTGTTACTATACTACAGTACTGCCTATGGTTAAACAGGGCCCAAATTGATAGGGGAGTAAAACACGGAAGTGGAAGAGCTGTCCATGCATTGACCAATCACACAAGAGCTCACAAACACCAACGAAATATTTGTTGTTGTACTTAACAAAGGGGTTTGGCACTAAAAACATAGGAACGTTTATAGGCTTAACGTTGGATTTAGATCGTGTTATAATCCAAATCCCCTAGAAAGAGTTGTAAGCACCAATTTTCATATAAAAAGACTAGTATATGAGAATATGGTACTAATATCACTAGTATCGAAGTATTGGAACACTGGACCGGCGCTGACTAGTACATATACAGTATACATTGACAGAAATACTCTTAGTTAAACATTATATTCGGTATATTTATGAAAAACAAAAATGTGTATAATAGACGAAACTTGCAATACGAAATTGCGAACTAATAATCATGGAAGGTAGAAGCCATTTAATAACTAATATGCACACATGTATACGGTTATATTCGTTTATGACTGCCAACAGGTAAGGTGCGTGTCTGTTTGTTGACTTTACTATTCGAGGTATTTACACGCATCGGGATGGTTTGTAACACTTCCCAGGATATCTCTCAAAAGAACTGCAACACGACTCAAGTCTGCCTGCGAGTAGTATGCAAACAAATTGCAACCACGGACGAAAAAATGGGGGCACTGCCCTTTCTCTAAAGCATATATCAGACTTCGTAGCAGTCCCTTGAATCTTTCGCCAAGTTTGTCTTTCGTCCATTGGGACGGATCGGGGAATTTCATACTCTCGTGGAGGAAAACAGTTTTGATGTGGTAGGAAACAAGTGGAAGGAAAGCTTCTCGGTTGGCCTCACGGATGGTCTTTAAGATACGTTCGCACTGTTTCCGTCTACCATTGCCATTCACGGAGTCGATATTCGAGTGCTTGAGAAGAAATTTCTCTCCACGGCAGAACGAGAGACGCCACAGGTTGCCATCGTCGGCGTCCAAGGGACACCGAGTCGGGAGTAGCTGAAAACCAAATTTCTTGACTTCCTTCGCTTCTTCAGCCGTGAGCCAGGCATTAGTTTCGTTACCCCACCCTTCAGCGGTAGGTGGCCAATCGCTCTGCAATGTTATGCACGGTACCAATTCAATGTTGTACATGCGGTCACCGTGTTGCACCTTCAATACAGGTATGGTGTCCGAAGAACCTGGTGAAATATATGAAACAAATGTGAGTGTCTAAATATATACTCGACAACGTGCTATTTTTTTTTTTGAGACGCTATGCTATATTAGTTATAATAATTACAGAGATTACCGTGTTTACTTGAATTTCACTGAATGTCGTTTTTTTAAAAAAATATATAAAAAAAATACAGAACTACTTTTCACACAAAAAGGAAACCATTCGTTGTCTCATATCTCAAATGTTGTTCGATAACATAATTTAGTTAACAGACTGAAATGTATCAACATTGTTGTCATTGTTTTCTTTTTTTTTGAGTTTTCTTTGGATTTTTTTTCCAGCCAAATCTGATTCTATACTGTGGATATTAAAGACCGTTCTAAATGAATAAACGTTTTGAACTTCGCAGCCCCAAATCATCACTTGCCACTTTGTATTTACCATGTTTCGTGTCCCTCTGGAACATAATCATTCACTATAGACAGCAGCAACTTCAACATACAGCATCGGGTAAGTTTAACGTACCATACTTAATCAAAATTATAAGCTAACCACCCCAGCAGAGAAACAAAATGGTTCAGTCCTAAATTTACTAACAATCAGGCACCTGTTTTTTTCAATTGTGCCCAAATATTTCAACACAATTAAAGTCGCTACACTCAGGCTGCGGGCGTAGGCTTGTTTCAACTTGCTTTAAGTTTTATAATGCAAGCATACTGTACATAGATACGGGAGATAAGTTTGCTAGGCACTATATACAGATCTAAGATATGAAGACACCTTGATATCGACATTTTTGGCATATTTTAACCGATACGGACGATGTTTAATGCTAGTCATATACACAAAACAAATGCCAACGTCTCGTAAACTGTTGCCCGCGGTTACCTTCGCTGTGTTTACAGTTTTCAATTACTACCACAGAATGAATTCCAATCAGGCTCGCTTTACTGTGCAGTAAAAAAAAGTTTATTTTTGTTTTTAAACAAAGAGCTATTAAACTAGTGGGTCATTGATACAGTTTGACTACATAATCCGACGCAACAAGAATAACACATATTGACACAATACCTTGCAAGTAAACCTTGGTGTTCAATTCCGGTGACAGAGATAAATTTTCAACCGCTGTCTGGACTAGTTTGTAAAACTTCTCCTTCACTTTCTTCGCCGACATAACTCCCAATCCCGTATATCCCTCGGGGCTCGCCCGTTTCGGTATTTTCTCCACCAGGTCGTCGATTTCGAAATTGGAATGCTTCGCCACCAGGTACCCGTAACACCCGTATTTAGGGTCTCGTTTGCCAACATCGTCGAAACCGCGAAAAGACAACAAGTTGACCAACGAGACTAAAAACTCGAACTCGTTCAACGCAGAAACTCTCAATCCTTCAAAGTATGTGCTCGTCGGAATGGGTGGTTCTGCCTTGAATCGGGGCTCATACTCGGCGACCCTCTGCAGTACGGGCTTGACGATATTTTCCAGGCACAGCGATATCGCTTGTCGAGATTCTTGCCGACTTGTCTGTATTTTAACGTCCGTAAATTTGCTCAATGCATTAATCAATCGTTGGTTTGTGTCGCTACTAGCCATCTCTCTCAAGATTTGTGTTGTTACCTAAAACGTTCTTCTGAATACTGAAATGGAACCAGACGACGTTATTATTTCTGTCATGTGACCTTGTGGAGGCTATTGTTGGGCTCGTCTGCTTGACTCGGAATAGAGACTAATGAAAATTGAACAATATGTGGTATTTATCATTACTCATTTACTCATTACTCATTTCATTAATGCAATGAAAAATAAAATAAAATAAAACCGGTTTCATGAACCTGTTTTGTAACTTTTTTGTAATAAATCTCGCGAGAGTTTGAATTTGTTACTATGTTAAACGAAAGAGGGCGCTATTCACAGGTGGGACTGCTTGAAATTCATCGCACAAAGTGAAAATGGTGTCGTCGGATGCTTTACTATTTATATTTTCCCTGTTTGACAGCGCGTCACTTCTTTTCCTGGCCGTGTTCTTCGTATCCTTTACGTATATTTTATATGAACGGTCTGAGTTTTTTTTTTATTTTTGCCTACCCACAGATTTTTCATGTGACACTGACAGACATTTCGTTCATTGACCCTGGAGTATACATTTGTACTATTACTTTGTTCCACTGTCGGCTCTAGTGTGAGCTCGAAGTCGGAGAAACTCGCTCTACATATCGGTTAGAGATGTACTTCGAACTACACGATGCGTTTAAAAAGTATAGATACCCAATTGACGCAATAGCAAATGAAGTCAGCGAACGATCACTTAATCGGAATCGGTTGCGACTGCCAATTTCACTTCCGGTCCAACTAGGGTAGGAAGCAGTGCTCAAAAACAAGAGTGCTGCTTGATGACACAATAATGCAATAATCGATGCAATAATCGTAAATATGTCCCCAGAAAACAAATCAATGTAAAGGGGGCATTCATACAAATAGATCGCAGGCCCCTATGCTTGACACAAGTGACAAGAATGACATACTACTAACTACAGTTAATGGTTTCCAAATAATTTAATTTGAAATTGCATCTTGGGACTTTTGTGTGAAATATTACCTGGATTTGCATGAAATGCATTTTCTTAACTTTTAAATCCAGAATAAAAATAAATTCTCATTACATGCCCGCTATATGAATGATCTTCAAAGTGCAACTAAATTATCAAGCAAAATGTTCCTTCATGCTCTTTGTTAAGCCATGGTTAAGCCATGCTTACTGGAATGGTTAAGAAACTCTCTTGGTTCTTTTGTTAGGATGCATGTCTTGGTAAACATTTACAGCAATTCCAGGCACTGATTTGACACCGAAGTAGTAGATAACTTACTACACTTACTATAGGTTACACACTTTGTTTTCACATTTACAGAAGTTGTTACAAATAACAGCATGTCTGAAATTTGAAGCGCACCGCCGGAAGGAAACTCTGCCCATAAAAGTGGCGGTACATTAGTTTTGAATTTTTCTTCCAATAGACGAGGCTCTCAACTTAGTTTTCTACTTCAATTTGCGTCACATGTTATTTCAGTGAGAGGGGCGCATAATGTAAAGAACGTTAGTTAGAGTTATTTTACAGAAGCAGCTGACCGACTGATCATGGCAGAATTATTGATCAAAGTGCATTATTCCTACTATGGAAATATCCGTATCACGCCGATGTATATAACTGAAAGCTGCAACAAATGTCCTATGAAGACTTCGTCCAGTATATCAATAATGAAATTGATTACATAAGTAGAGTGGGTGTTATTCGATTATTTGTTCTCGACGATGAGAATAAAATGCTGATGCTGCCTTGATTTTTCAAGCTTTCTTTTTTCACAAAACCCCTGCTGTTTTTACATAAAACTCATTTTTATTCAAAATAACACCTCTATGTTTACTTAGTAATCACGTGACTAATTCGTGGTACATATCGCAGAACATTTTTTTTCAAAAAGCCAGTAACAAGGGTTTCAAGAAATGCATATGTATTTTGTCATGCTTCAAAACACTTTTTACCATGAAAAACATTTTTACTTTTTAGAGCATGTTAACTCTACTGTATCCATAAACAGCTTATCACCAGCAACACATGATCACACGTCCGGGGAGGGTTGCCGCCGTGCATAGACCATCTTTGAGTAGTTTTGTTGAATTTCCCATCCGTAAAGGCTTGGTCTCAACGTTTTAAAATATTCTGTATAACGTTGTCAGTTTTTTAGACACGGATTGGTCGCTCTTGCGCTTTCCTGGCAGGATACTCTCGGTGGTAACAAACAGTTTGACGATATTATAAGCTTTCTGCTTTGAAACACCACTCTGATCTCCAATCTCAGCAAATGACAGTCCATGAAAATGCAAATTGACAATTCTTGTTCTCACTTCAACTGGTTTTTCGACTCCTAGCTTCTCCATCGTGGTGTTTAAACAACTTGGACAAATGCCGATTTGTAGACACTCAATCAACACGATGACTGACCGAAAGTGACTAAAAGTCAGACGCGCCCTCAAAGTCTGGGGCACATCAGACTTTTTAGCAAAAATAGAAAACACTGTTGGCAATATCTGTCAATCATTCCTATGATTTGCAGTCGATGTTTATATTTTCAGTTACAACTTATGTAAATGTGAAAACTAAGTGTGTAACCTATTGTAGAATGTTATCTATATCTAGTACTACTTCAGCGTCTAATCAGTGCCTGGAATTGCTGTAAAACACAGGGAATTAGCATACTGCTGATGTTGCGGTGAACGCAGGTAAAAATTAGGTAAAATTACATATTCGTTCAAAAAACAATTTCCATCGATAGGCGTTTTCTGTAATATTTTTTTTCCTAACAAATTTTCACGATTTATACAGTATTGTCAGGATTTGATATGATTTTTCAGCAATTTCCGGAACTATCGATATTTAATTATGCCAAACACAGACAAAAAAGCTGATGTCGCTGACCTCAACAAAAAATGCTTTATTTTCTAAAGTTACGATTGAAATTAGTTATGATAATCGTAGTTCCACATTAAAATACCCAAACATTAATGTAGTAACAAATACATACTTACATTTAGAACATTTTAGAACATTCCCAGACAGAGTTTTTGGGGTACAAAATGGTCAATTTCTATTCACAGACGGCAAATCCGTCAACAAAACAAACTACATGTATCTGTATTTTAATTTTTTTCGAGAACAACAAAACCTCACACAACATTTGCACAGAAATCGGTGATGCTTCTACATCGATATTTCGGCTTAATGAGCTCTATTTCTTCAATTTAGTGGAGACGCATGGAAAACGAACGGAGATAGCAATGTAAGCGATGACGTCATGGAGGTTGGACACTCCTCTGAATGGATAATTACCATATCTAATAATGGAGTTTCCTAACCATTCTTCAAGTAACCGTAGTTAAGCATTGTAAAGAATGTTTTCATAGATATTAGTTTGTGATTTAGTTCACATTGTCATCAAGTCACTGTATTCTGTGCATAATTTTTGATCACTAATTCAAATTCTAACCATATTTCCTATAGTAGTATTTTCTTACATAAAATCTTGTTTAAACTTTTATTTTGTATGTGAAATTCTCATCTGCTGTAACTCTAAGTTGTGTAATTATATGTACCATAAAAGCCCTAAAACGCATGTTTGTCCTAGTATTGTGTCCTTTGACCTCATAGGTCAAGAATGTCATTAACCAATCAAAATATTGCATGGTACTATAGACAGTTCCAGACATTTTTTTGCAATTTTTTTCGTAATTCATAATTTTGTTTTATGCAAGGCAGATGATTGTCTCAATTTAGCAGCTTATTTCTTGCTATGAATGAGATGCTTCACTGAACTAGTTTTATTTTACTTAGATATATTTGGATTTCTCACTAACAATCATCTGTTATTTATTTTCCCCACTGTATATTTACTTAATATCCCTTTCAACCAGATAATTACTCTTTCTGATTTGGAATGTGATTACCTGAATGCAACATCATGTTGTTCAAGGCTAAATACAGTAAGTATACAAAAAATTAAAATCTCATTTTCATGTGATGTATTTGTACATGTAAACAACATTTTGAAATTCAACTATATGACAGCATACTGTCATACCAGAGAGGGAGCCTAACCCTCAAAATTACAGTATTTCACTTTGCCTATTGTTGTATTTGTCCTCATGTTCATTGTCAGCTGTTACAGTTTGGAGTCACTTACAGTGTTAACACAGAGACACGGAGTTTCACCCAGAGCTGATTTTCCGTGTTAACACCAAGTTGAGACATGTGAACAAGAACTAGAAGTTAAAACAACAGCCTCTAACAGCACCCCAGATGGTATCAGCTAATTGTACTACAAGATGGCAGACAACATGCAAGCAGCATGTGAGTCTTGCTGAACTGGTCAAATGGGGATACAAAATTATTACCTAATTTCTTTTTGGAAGACCAGAGCATTTTGATGGATTTATGCTGTATTTGAGGACACATGGAGTGTGATGGGCTTTTTCATTGGGAGTTCAAATTAAGGCCATTTCTCACTCAAATTCTGGATCCATGCAACCAAAAAGTGACATTGGACACTGAGATGGTCTGTCTAACAACGTCAATAAATGAGAGACACGAGTGATGTGTTATATTCTGCCATCTTTGTTTATATTATATCGCCCATGCATTTAGCATATGGAAAACTGCTAAAACTGTCATTTTTTACAAATGAGTTCTTAACCTCTTATACATTGCCCGTATCATTGAAGATGAAAGGGAAAAAGGTATATTAATGGAAAATGTCTGTCATCGTTGTTGTTGTCATTAATAATTCTAATTACTAAGATTATTAAACATGGTAACATTAATTTATTCATAGGCGGCCCATGTATCAACTTCTTAATCAGTGTACAGTAATATCACGTTTATTTAAAAGGTTTGGTCTGTGACGAAGTTCCCCCCTCCACATACTACTATGATATTAAGCAATTCATTCACGAAATGTAAAAAGAAATTTCAGATTTTCATAAAACTGGAATGTTGAACTTATAAAGTTGGTATTAGTTTAGTATCAAATGGATTCTGTGCCATCTAATATTTAGAGCTTACTATAGTTACCATAAAAAAATCCATGATATTGTGTAAAATTATGAATGATTATACCATAGTGTTTTAATAAGTCTAAATGACAAATCCAAACACCGATTTCAGTGCTCTGTCTATGCCGGCCGTTAGCATACAGCACTCAACTTACTAGAACAAAAAGTTACCGGCTGGCTCTTTTCTATTGTTGATGATACATGCAGAGTGTATCCCAATGGACCATCATTCTAATGTCTTTGTCTGTTTTAAAGATGAGTATTGTACATTTGTAACTCAAATCAATTATTTACAATTATCTGTTTAGTTCAAACGACAGACAAAAGCAGCAAAACTGTAATAAAGAAAATATTTTTCCTGTATTCTCCCAAATGACAGACACTAGTAGGGAGTATTCACCATGAATTGAGCTGTCTATACATGCACATTAAGCTGTCATAAAGAGATATCTACACCCACACTGCAGCAAATTATTTTACTGGTATCCTCTAAGTATCAGAAATAGAACAGATAATGTCATGCTGATGTTGAACAATTATGAGGGCATTAATTGCGCGAGATTTTACTCCATTAAACTTGTGTTCATTTATGAGTCTATAGGAAGATAATACAAAAATGAAAGGGACCCATTTCATTACAATGGTCATACATAACTGTATTTATATATCTATTTCACAATGGTCTTTTCCCCCGAGTGGCTTCTGTAAAGACCGATCACTACTACTGAAAGGAAGGACTTGCAGTGTACAAAAAATAGTTAACAATTTCAAATAATTCGTCATTGATACAGTATAGAACTAAAAATATCTTGCGTATAATAACTTTACTATCTGTTGAACCAACTGTACTTATTCATGCTTTCAGACATGCGTATTGCCGCTTGATCTTAATTGATGTATTCATGTATACTGTACATATGTATGTGCTTTTGTGCTTTTGTTGGTGAGATCCTGATTTAAAAGTGTTGCAACAAATAAATAAATTCATCAGTGTAAAATACAGGCATTATGCAAGGTGGCTGCTGCAACTACCGTAAAATCTGTATTAGAAGCCGCATCCCTAATAGAAGTCGCACCCATTCTTTTTAAACAATTGAGAACCAAAAAATCATCATTTCTCATATGTGTAGATGCTCTAATAGAAGCCGCACCCCCTCTATTGGATTGTACCATTTTAATAGAAGCCGCGGTTTCTAATACAGATTTTACAGTACTAATTTTGATATGTACTCTTCTGTTACAGTGGGTCCTTCCAGAAATAATAGCGCATACAATTGTGCTTGTTTTACTGTTATTCAACTTTCATTGGATATTATTCTGTGTAAATCTACCATTAGCAGCCTATGAAATCTACAGGTAAGCTTATAGCACTGTATATTTAGAGTCTCTATACATTGCCCATACATGATGGCATTGCAGTTCATTGTACACAACTACCAGCAGGGTACTTGAAATGTTGATTGGATTGGATTGGATGAGCCTTTTACTAGCAGTGGTAGTCATGGATGGGGTGAGCCCTTTTACTAACAGTGGTAGTCATGGATGGGGTGAGCCTTTTACTAACAGTGGTAGTCATGGATGGGGTGAGCCTTTTGCTAACAGTGGTAGTCATGGCTGGGGTGAGCCTTTTACTAACAGTGGTAGTCATGGATGGGGTGAGCCTTTTACTAACAGTGGTAGTCATGGATGGGGTGAGCCTTTTACTAACAGTGGTAGTCATGGATGGGGTGAGCCTTTTACTAACAGTGGTAGTCATGAATGGGGTGAGCCTTTTACTAACAGTGGTAGTCATGAATGGGGTGAGCCTTTTATTAAGAGTGGTAGTCATGGATGGGGTGAGCCTTTTATTAACAGTGGTAGTCATGGATGGGGTGAGCCTTTTACTAACAGTAGTAGTCATGGATGGGGTGAGCCTTTTACTAACAGTGGTAGTCATGGATGGGGTGAGCCTTTTACTAACAGTAGTAGTCATGGATGGGGTGAGCCTTTTACTAGCAGTGGTAGTCATAGATGGGGTGAGCCTTTAACTAGCAATGGTAGTCATGGATGGGGTGAGCCTTTAACTAGCAGTGGTAGTCATGGATGGGGTGAGCCTTTAACTAGCAGTGGTAGTCATGGATGGGGTGAGCCTTTAGCAGTGGTAGTCATGGATGGGGTGAGCCTTTTACTAACAGTGGTAGTCATGGATGGGGGGAGCCTTTTACTAACAGTGGTAGTCATCGATGGGGTGAGCCTTTTACTAACAGTGGTAGTCATGGATGAGTGAGCCTTTTACTAGCAGTGGTAGTCATGGATGGCGTGAGCCTTTAACTAGCAGTGGTAGTCATGGATGGGTGAGCCTTTAACTAGCAGTGGCAGTCATGGATGGGGTGAGCCTTTTACTAACATTGGTAGTCATGGATGGGGTGAGCCCTTTTACTAGCAGTGGTAGTCATGGATGGGGTGAGCCTTTTACTAACAGTGGTAGTCATGGATGGGGTGAGCCTTTTACTAACAGTGGTAGTCATGAATGGGGTGAGCCTTTTACTAACAGTGGTAGTCATGGATGGGGTGAGCCTTTTACTAGCAGTGGCAGTCATGGATGGGGTGAGCCTTTAATTAACTAGCAGTGGCAGTCATAAATGGGGTGAGCCTTTTACTAACGGTGGCAGTCGTGGATGGTGAGCTTTCCAATGGTGGCAGTCAGTGATGTCCCCATTACAAATCAATTCTGTATTTTGCACTGTTGCTTTCCTAATTTTTTGCACAGGTCTGAGCTGATTTCATTGAAAAACTTTATTATCATCTTGTTTGACTTTATTCAAAAATCAGCATTTGTGTTGTACTTGTACAATTGCTATAAAGGGTACTATATTTTTTCGGTGGTATAAACTTATTTCTGGTGCTTTGTACACTGCAGGTACATCAACATTCCTAGTGGCAATACAGGTTTATATGATCCAACTGAAATCCATAACAGAGGACAATTAAAATCATATATGAAAGAAGCAATGGTTAAACTAGCATTTCATCTTGTTTTCTTTTTTATTTATCTTTACAGGTAAGTGTTAGTACGATCTCTTGAGTTTGTTTTTCACAAATAAGTCTTATCATAACGTCATATTGGAAGAGGAATCAGTTCTACACTCAATAATGAGCTCATTATTTTGCATGTAATTGACTCTAAATCCAATATGGCACTGTGGGGAGTTCATTATTGTCATATGCGTTATGTGTGTAGCATAGAACACACAACACATTGAGTCAGTGGTATATTATGATACTGTGAAATACTTTATTTTAGCTGAAATTAATTTTCACTGAAAAGACATTTTAGGTCTTTCGTATGGAATTTATTTTCACTGATTTTTGACGAGTTGAATGTAAAATATAGGAAAAAATGTATATTCGCTGAATTTTATTTTCACTGAATCATTCTTTCAGCGAAAATAACAAAAATGAATTCCAAGCAAAAATAAAGTATTTTACAGTATGTAATAACTGGCTGCTAGTACTATTTACAGATTACCATTTTAAATGAGGATTTCATATCACCAAAAGTCTGACTTGTTTTCTTTGTGTAGCTACTACTGGGATCACGGCAAATTTGTATTCTTTTAAATTTTCCAAACATAAACATCCTCTGGGACTTTTCAAAGAATTTGTACATAGATTGCCTAACATTGTTAAGAAGACTGACTAATATTGGCAATAATAAGAAGAAACCACCAGCGTTCAAACACAGACCTTGTGTTTTGAGACACCCCAACTCTTCGTTGGTCTACCTGAAACTGGATGCTGAATATATACAAGTTGATCATTATGCAAATCTCAAATATTCACCCACCTGTCGTAGTTTAAATATGCAAATTTTAAGAGAACAGTGTTAACAAATTCTGAAATTTCCCTACACTCAACACATGTGTTGCAAATTGAACATGATTTAATAAATGTTTTAGAAATTTTGTAATATATTCTATTTACAAATGTGGAAGATAAGGTAGTTCATAAATTAGCCTCATCTAGTTTAATTGCACATTCGGTAAATTTGGTAAATAAATCTGCCGTCTTTCATTCGCTTTGACACCTTGTATGCCGCAAGTTCATACAGTGAACTATGTAATTGTTATCTTGAGTGGCAGTTTACAAGACTGTCTCCCATTGGCTACTTGATTTTTTGTATTGTCCAATCTGAAGCGTTTTTAGTTAGAAGCAGTTTGCAAAGCTGACTCTTTGGTTCTTGAGTTATCTAATCTGTTTGTGTTAATCCAATCACAAGTGCTGTTACTAAAAGCAATTTTCAAGACTATGTCTCATTGGTTCTAATCATTCTGTTTGAATTAGTCACTTAGTTTCTTACTTCAGAATCAGAGTTTCCTATTCCTTAAAATCTAACAGCATACCAATGGATATATTTACATTGTCTAGCATTTGTACCCATAGACATTCATGACTTTTTTGAAAAGGTACACGATTACAAAGGGAAACCTGAATGTTTCTTGCCTGGATTTTCAAAAGTTGAAAACACAGCCATTATTTGCAACAAGGAATTGTGGGCAAGAAAACTTTGTGACTATATACACAACATGTACCTTTTAATATGTGATCATTTCATGATATCAAGATTTCCCCCAAAATACGTGTTGATAAATTAAAACTATAGTGATTTTAACGCTTTAATATATAGGTTTATGATATGTCTATTGGTATAACTGTATGGTATTGTAAATCTGTTCAATTGATAGAATTTTAGTTTCAAGCTCAAAACTTTCAGTTACTGTAACACTTCATTACTTGTGATTAATGACTCAATGCTGGTTTTCTGAACTACCGTTAAAGTCCTATTATAAACCGCGGTTTATATTACAATGTATCAATTTAAAAATTGGGATCAAAAGCTCAAGTTCGGGGTGCGGTTTCTATTACGTACATATTGCAATCACTAAATGGGCGTGGTCATTTTTTGCCCACAACACATGCACAAAACAAACAATACACCGTATTGTTTGTCACATCCTACTATTTAACGCCCGGACACGCGAGGGAGTGTCCGGGCACGCGTGGAGGCGAACAGGGGGGAATACCTAACGCGCGGGGCAGCGGCAGCAATCCTTGTACTGTATAATATTCGTTTATGCTCAAAATTTGAACCGGAGTGGCAAATTCGAGCAGCTATCCACACTTGTTATGATCGACGCCCGGGCATTCCAGCGAGTCGAGTCCGCCATGTTGTTTACTAATTTTGGTTAGCGTTTAACAATAGGACAATACCATTCGATCCATGGGGGTTATAGCTTCAAACAGAAACAACAAATGCTTTGTCTCTCGACGCAACTCGCCCTGGTTATGTAAATGTTTTCCCTTACCATCAGGCTCCAAGCCGGAACAAATGACAACCTTTTTTTTTCTGAATTACACAAGTTCATCATATTTGGTATGTCATGTTTATTTGAAAAAAAAAACGTGCC